GTAAAATCTGATCAGTTCCAGATTAGATTAGATTTCATGCTGTGGTACCTTTGGGAGGCTGAAATAGTTTGGAATTCGCCATAAGGTGTCTCTTCTGAAAGGGCAGGATGACTGTATCTTGAAGCTCATTGATAACTTCATCCAGACCTGCAATATCTCTCCAGGATACCTGCAGGAAGGTGAAGTTATTCATAAATCTCTGAGCAACATAAAAAAAGACTGATGATTACAACCGTTACCTTCATAGTTTGTGGATCAACTAGATGAGATGCAATGTTCATCTCATATTCTGTAAGTCTGACCCCCTCAACACCAATCCTCTTCATCAGCTGCTCTGCCTGAGGGGTCAAGAAACACTTCTTAGCTGAAGACACAAAACGATAACAGACATTGTGCACAATACTGAGCCAATCTTTCTTTTTTTATCTCAAAGCATCTTTACATCATGCTTTGAATGTACAAGAACAGATAGTGCTTGCTGCATTGTGAGCCAGGAAAAACGCCTGACCTTGGCAGCATTTCTGGAACACTGTTCAATAACAGCATCAACCTTGAGCTTACGGTATTTTACAGATTGCGTGTTTATAATGTGTGCCGATGCATGACATACCCTCTTCTTGGCTTGGTTTTTCTGTTTGGAGGTAGGATCCATTGCATCTAAGACCCATTTGATGCTGTAGTACGTGGCGGCACCAAAGACGGTCAACCTGAACAACATGCCAACCACTTCATTCCTAGACAACGGCCGCATCAGGGCCTCCCTGGGCAGATCTTTCAGCAGCATCTCTGATGGCTGATGTCAATCCATTGGCTGGATAACGAGGTGGAAATATACAAACGAAGTTATTACAACCACATAAGGTCAATTACAGCTCTCGCCTTTTATAAGGCTAAACAAGCTCTCACTTGTATTAGGTTTATGATGCCTAAGCTAGGACTGCGGGTCATGTTTATGCAAACGCAATGTCGCTATTTCAGTAAATAAATTACATTCGTGGTTCACATTTTTTATTGGAATAAATGAACTTAATTCGCAGGTTAGCTTCTCCGGGGAAGCTAAAGCTAACAGGCTAGAGCTTCAACTTGAAAGCAGCAAACAGTGTTTGTAACATCGTGAAATTTTGACCTCACGCGAAATAAAACGTCTCACCCTTGCTACGTGTGCTGCTACGCTTAAACGTAACCTCTACTATGAGATAAAAGACAAAATAGTGACACTTACAAAACGGGAACGTAACGAAAATGTATTCACTGTGCAACAACCTTTGACGTCCGGGTAGGAACAAACACTTTAGTTCCAGAAAGCACGATGAGGAGTTCACAGAGTTAGCCACTGGATGGCAGAACGTCCACACAGTTATTTCACGCATCAGTAGCATGGACAGCATTTACAGTGCTGCAGAAATAGTAGTCCTTATTACTCCCCACGGGAAAGGTAAGAGCCTTGAAATAACATTTATAGTTTTGGCAAGTCAGTTGTGGACATGTTGATTGAACTGAGTAAAAGCTTACCTTCATAAAAGGAATAGCTTTACATATATTTTGTGCAAAAATGTCAGCAGCATCATGGAATACTGTAGCTAACATAATTTATAATAACCAATCACATAATCTCTATTTTTTTCCACGATTTTAAAATGCTTTTCTTTTTTTTTTATGTTTTAAAGTCAAAGACTCTACAGTATTTTTTGCTCTTGGGTGAAATGCTTTTCTGTGGGTGTCTGGGATCTGTCAGAAAACACTGTGATTGGACACCCAAACATGTCCTGGGGTATGCTTCATGCAAATGTACCCTAGTAAAAGATAGGACAAATCTCAAGCCGTAATCTGTGTTTGGTCTCCACTCATCTTCAGCACGGTCTGATAATGGATAATTCAGTCTTCTAAACAGCAGTCTCAAAGATAAGGCTGTAACAAATGGCCTTCTCCTACAAGCAATTTATCACACATGCGCCTGAGGGATTGTTAATTGTCACGGAGTCCAAGCTAAATTTGATGATGCTTTTGGAGCGTTTGTGCAAACGAATCCCTGTTTTTCATCACCGTATTACTACTAAGAAAAATATAAAGTATAAAAGTGTGAAAAACAGTTTTAATTATGTAAGAACTGCTTAATTTACAAAATTTTACATCAAATGATTTAATGAACACCCAGATTTCTGCAAGACACACAGCTCCTGCTTTAACCTGAGATCCAAATAAACAACAGCCTGGCACAGCTTACCACACCATTTGGGCATGATTAGTTACATTTTGTATAATGCTCCAGAAAATGAGAATTTGTCTTTTAAAATTTTACTTTTTTTAATTCCCCATTTGAGTTAAGTAAAATCTTACAAAGCCTCTACCCTGTGTAGACCAATTAGTTGCCCAAATTGGATGCAGAATTAAATTCTGCACGGTTACAGCTTTAACCATCCAGTGAAGTTAAGTCCACCTTTGTTGTGGAAAATGGCGCACAGGCTGCTATTCTGCACACCTTTGGCTGTGAAAATGTTTCATGAAAAGCTTCAATCCCCCTGTACTGCAGCAGCAAGTCCCAGGAGATAGCAGCCTGACTCGGCCATTTTGATGGGTCTGGGCATAAAAGCGCAGGCTTGTGTATCTGCAAAGTGCAGCCGGGGCTCTACATTCCCACAACGCCTTGCACCTTGCCCAAACAACCGCTCTCAAGCGGGTGGGAGTACAACAAAAGAAGAAAAAAAAGAAAGAAAGAAAAAACATATTCAGCTCCCTGTCAAACCTCCACGATGCGGAGGCTGAAGTAAAACCTAAAGCTAGCTGCTTGGAGCTTTCACATGCCAAAATTGCATTCTTTGGAGAAAACAGTCTGGCAAGTGATTGTTTTGCTGTTAGAGATATAAATCCTTGTCGAGTAATAATAGTTCTGTCATTATGCTCCACCGCACCACTCTTTTTCCCTCAGTTTATATTAGTTGATTTTTTGTGTGTGACAAAAGGATAATGGGATTAGTCTAGTTTTTTTTTTTAAGTGCACAAGGTAAAGTGTTAAACACTTAAGTAAATGCTGGTCACACACAGTATTTAATTACCCTTTCGGTCTCAGAGGAAGAGAAATTACCTGGAGCTGCACAGGATAAGGAATCATTGGGGAGTGAGTTATTTGCTTGCCAGTTTTACTTTTAAATAACACCAACATCTATCTATCTATCTATCTATCTATCTATCTATCTATCTATCTATCTATCTATCTATCTATCTATCTATCTATCTATCTATCTATCTATCTATC